AACGAGGCAACAACCAGCCCCAGGGAGCTGGCCGGGGTCCCTGCCTCACCCCAGTGTCTTAGCTAAGTATACCTCACTGCCCATGGACCCCTGAGGTACAAAGGAGGCTGTACGGGCTGCTCAGGAAGTGCATCAGAATGTATGTTCACTCTCCCCGGCCTCCAAAACCCATCCACGGGTGTCTCGAGGCACACCCTGAGGGAAAGCTGGCTGGACTGTAACTATAGAACATTCTATTTCTGTCCAAGGCTTTGCCTAACAGGAGAATCCTTTGAAAGCAGCACAGTGGGGAAGTGAATTGAAGGTAGGTGTGTGGTGAAGACCAGAGCCAGAATGTTGCCGGGTTAGCCCTAGGGCTGTGCTCCTCCCCATTAGAACCATGGGTTCCTTGCTACCCCTCCGCATTTTTGTCTTCTGCTTTTGCCTGTGGTCAGAAGAGAATCAGATGGTCATACTAAATCCCAAGTCTGTAAAATCCAAGTCTTAATTCTGGGCTTCTAATTCTTGTAATATATACACTTTAGTGGCTGCCTCCGTGGCAATGTGCCTCTGTGCATCCCCCGCCCCCTTCCTGCTCTGCTGCTTCTAGATGCCAGTGCGGAGAGTGCCTCTGGTGGCCTGGGCAGCTTCTGCTGGCCTGCTCCTCAGCTGTGGCTGGCTGCCTGAGGGTCATCACCTCCCTACCATGGATGAATGAACTTAAGGAGCTGGGGATCCATCCCTACCACCAGAATCCAGCTCATACCTGCTAGTGCTGACAGGTTGGGGTCAAGTTGTCTGGGGGGTTGAGAAGATCCCTGCTTGGGGCAGGCAGGGGCTGGACCTTGGGATTCCAGGATGGCACTCACTGGCCCTGGCCCTGCAGCTGGGGAGTAGCCCAGGGACTTCAGAGGCCACTGGTGCCTGCATAGGCTTTGTAGCCAAGCCCTTAAGGGGCTTGAGCTACAGCCAGAAACAAGATCCCTGTCTTAGATTTTTGAAGGATTAAAGAAGACAGTGGTCTGCACCTTTCTGTAGATATTTTCTACTTCAGCCACACTGACCTAAGTTATTTCTATAGTGAACACACATCTCTGCCCCTGCTTAACAGCACTCTGCACTTACCTGGCTTTAGCCACTGAAACAGGCAACTCCAGTCCCATGTCCTGTGCTTTATACCTTGGGCAGCTCTCTGAGCTCCTAGCTTAGAATTCTGGTTGGTTCTGGTGGTTCCCAGGGGAGGGCCAGGTTCTACCTGATCTCTTGGCCTCCAAGACTGCAAGGAGAGGGTGGGGTCAGGGTTGGTTTCTGGTAAGATAACACAGTATCTGAGTTCAGTGCTTGGTCTTTATTATCAGAGATATTTTAGTCCAAATCCTAGCTGTTCTTCTCACCAGCTATGTCTTGGGGTATCAGCTTTGACCTCTCCGAGCCCATTAGCTCCTCCCTTGAGAAGAGCTGACGGCACTATGGTAGCTGCAGCCATCTACCCATTACCTGCCGCGTCCACAAGTGGATCACATGTCCTCTCTGGACTCCAGTTTTCTTGTCTCTAAATAGGCTGTGATTTCTCCCCTTCTGCCTCCCAGAAATGCATTCATACGGACCTTTGCCTGTTCCATCCAAATACAAACTACTAATGTGAATTTCTCCTGGTTATATGCTCTGGGAAGAAGCTAAAGACGCACACTTGGCTTCCAGCCTGTGTGAAACCTAAGAAAGTAAAGAAGATCTAGGACCATGCATCTCCCCCAAATGTCAAGAGATACTTCGGAGTTCATGGTATTGCAGGAATCCAGTATCAGCTCCATTTTCTTAGTACTGCTACGAGAGCTATTTGACTTTCTTTCTGCCTAGAACCTCCTCCTCCTCCACTTTCTCTTCTCTCTCTCACACTCAAACACACACCAGTCTACTCTCCCTAGATCTGTTCTCCCCAGACTTACCCAGGACTGTCACTTACTTTTATACCTCCATCTGTTCCCCAGGCCCTGGGGTGCAAATCGTTTGGTCTCTGGGAAATTCGGGAGAAGGTTAGTCGGGGTTAGTTGTGCTCAGGTGGATGGGAGCATGAGGGTTCATCTTAATGTAGGTGTGTCACCTGTCTCCCTCCATCTGAGTCCTGACCTGTCCTTGGATCCCATGTCCCTCCCACCTCTACACTGCATGCCTTTTAGTTCAGGAGCTGGATGTGGCTGGTATCTCAGGCCTCTTTCATTAAAGAACCCTTCAAGCCCTGACTGGTGTGGGTCAGTGGGTTGGGCGTTGTCCCACAAGCTGAAAGGTCGCTTGTTTGATTTCTGGTCAGGTACCTGGTTGTGGACATTCAAGAGGCAACTGATTGATGTTTCTCTCCCTCTCTTTCTCCCACCCTTCCCTTCTCTAAAAATAAGTTAAATTTAAAAAAAATCTTCAAGATGTCAAACAGCCTTATATGGAATTTACATGTTGGTAAGCCTGAGTCTTCACACACGTATTCCCCTTCTTAACTTACAGTTCCAGGCAGGGAGAGAAGAGGGGCTTTCTGTTCTCCATCTGTGATCAGTGTCTGTAAGTCGAGGGAAGGAAAGGTACATGTTGTCAGAAGAATACCCCTGGGAAAGCCAGCACTTTACTAGCTGTTTACCTGGAACCACAGTGACTGAAGGAATAGCTAGAGCTTTGGGCATTTCCAGGGAGGACCCTCGCCTCTCTAGGGTACTACCAAGACCTTAATCCCAGGATGCTCCAGGTCCAGGCCTCAAGAAAGTTGAGACCTTTGGTCAGCCAAAGCCTGATGCCTGGTGTTAGGGTCTCTCTCTACAGTTAGGTGTAAGACTTGAGCCTCAGGTTGTTCTTACTAAGGAATGGAAGCCAACAGCTGTTGGAGCAAACTCCCTCCTGCTTGGCTCTGCCCTTTCAAATTACCCAGAGATGGTTGTTTCCTATAGAAAGTTAGGCCAGTGCCCCAGTAAAAGGTGCTGCTTCCGGGTAGGAACAGTAACCTGAGAACTGAGAGGAATGGTTTAAGAGGGGGACAGGGTCAAATATCTGGGGCCTTAACCATAAGGGTAGTGGGACCACAGGACAGATGTTGATCTTGCACTGTGAAGACAGAAGAATAAGCATTGCGGCATGAGGGTGATGTTGGATCCTGCCCCATGATAACATGTTTGTTGTTCTTTCCTCTCCACAGGCTTGCAGCCCTGAGTGAACGGGAGACTCGGCTGCAGGAGGTGCGCTCAATCTTCTTGGCTACATATAGCAGCACAGTGGGGCTTCGGGCAGCAGCCCCCAGTCCCTCTGGTGCCATTGGGGGCCTGTTGGAGCAGTTTGTCCGTGGCGTCGGGCTCCGGGGCACCAGCAGCAGCGCCTTATGAAGCAGCCAGCCCACAACAGCTTTATGCCTCTCTCTCACCTGAGCCCTGAGTGGAATCAAAGCCATGCCCAGCCAAGGGGTCCTTCAACGTCAGGGGAAGTCTCCTCTCTCCCCCACCTCTACCATGCACATGGCAGCCCCACAGCTGAGCAGGGCCAAGGACAGGGTTCTCCAACCCCTGGCTTCCTGACTGATGACCATCACACCTCTTGTCACTGCCTCCCACCCATCCTAGTCTTTGCTAGGATTTCTGCCAACTCAGAACTGTGTGGGGTTTCCCTGGGGCCTTCTGGAGGCTGAGACTTTACGAAAGGAACCCCCTTTCCATTCTTGTTTCCTGGGGAGGAGGGGGTTACCTGCACTGAGAATAGGCAGTTTGACACACAAAAAAATAAAATCAAAGTCTTTCTAAACAGCAGTTCTCTGGCATCCTCATTGTATTCCTGTCTTTGTGAAGTTACTGGTAAGGTTCTCATCGTCCTTCCTTGTGCTGGAAAGAAGAGGGTTTAGGAGGTAGACCTCAACTCCTGACTGACGATAGTCTGTGAGGTCAGGACACATAGGCTGCTAAGGGGTGGAAACAGTTGTCCTCAGGCCTGAGCAGGCCCTAGTCACCTAGGGAATATGTTTATCCATGCAGGTTCTTAGGGCTGCCTAAAATTTAGACTTGATGTTGCTGAGGTCTTCATTTAGCTGGGAATGGAGTGGGGAGGGGGTGTTCATTTTTATCGAGTTCTGGAGGCAGCTCAGTTCTGGTACAGGCAACTGGCAGACCCTGTCTGTGGTGGAAGGACTGGCTTCTGAGGCCTTGGAGGCTCTTGGTGTGGGGAGGGTGGACCTGTGCGACCACCACCTCATCTACAGCATAACCTAGATTGGGTTGCATCCTCACAGCGACAGCCTTTCTAACACCATGAAGTCTAGGATTCAAAGACCTGGGCAATGGCTTTGCACAGTGCTGTTAATGGCCACCATTCACTGAACTCTGACTGGGTACAGAAGAGGTCATTGGTATGAATGCCCAGAGGAAGTAAATAATGCCAGCAAATGTTTGAGAATTTACTGCGTACAGTCCTCTGTGCCACGTCCTTTGCATGGATTATTTCAAAAATGTACAACACCCCAAGTAGATGCTATATAGTTGCCTTTCTACCAATGAAGAGACTGAACCACAGAGATGTTGAGTAATTTGTCCAAGGTCACACAGCTAAGGAGTGCAAATGTATAACCCTTCCCATTCAGCGACCTAGGAAGGGCTAGAGTAGTGAGGGAATGGAGCAGATTGTAGGCGGAGTGCTGTTCCAGTAGAGGGAAGGTCCCAATCACTTACGGGGGGGGGGGCCTTTCAGCACCGTGGACAGCTCTGCAGGGGGCTAGGGTTTGGTCCGGGAGAAACGCACTAGAAGGATTCTCTCAAGGTGTGGGTTAGAGTTGAGGTCTGAGTAAGGTTCCTGGGCCCAAGGCTGCTCTAATGGGGCGGGGGCCACCCGCAGGGCGGGGCGGGGCTGTGTTGCCATCTGGAGTCGCTGCCGCAGGCGGCCACAGTCTAGGCGTGAGCGGCCGAGAGAACACCGGGCGGAGGGAGTGCAGCAGCCGCCGCGGCGGCACCTGGGCCGGCCCGCCACTACTGCTACCCGTCGCCTTCGCTGCTGCCGGACCGGCCATGTCTCTCAGCGGAACCTCTGAGCGCAGCGTCCCGGCCACCAAGATTGAAATTACCGTGTCCTGCCGGTGAGCTGGTCAACGGGAGAGGGCTCGGGCACTGCCCCAGACCCAACCGGCTCCGGGGCTCGGGTAGGGGCCAGACCCCGGGGAAAGAAGCATCTGGGGCTGGAAAATTGCGGATGCAGACTCCGGGTTTGGGGAGGGGGGTTCCTTGAGCAGCCTCACCCGCAAAAGAGGGTTCACTCAGCCTGCGGGTTCAAGGGAAAGGTAGCAGGGTTCCAGTAGGACCTGGGCCCCAGGAGGACAAAGTTCTGGGGCTAACCCTCATTCCTGGGCCCCTGGAGACAGTGTGGGCACGGACGCGTCCAGCCGCAGGGTACAGTCCTTGGGCAGAGATTTCCGGCGCTGTCCAGGGTGCTAAAGCGCCTCTGGATGTAGTAATGAGGCAGGAAGGTGCGATCTGAGTCCCATGTCTCCCCCGGGTGCCCAACTCAGGGGAGAGCCGAGGCGGTGAGCTTCAGAATGACCCACCCTTTGTCCGTCTGTCTGTTGCTTTCTCTAGGAACCTGCTGGACCTCGACACCTTCTCCAAGTCCGACCCCAGTAGGCGGCACCAGGGCGGGGCGGGGAGGAACTTGGTGTGCGGCGGCGACTGAGGAGCGGGGAGGGGGCGCAGACTGACCTGACGTCCTTCCCTCCCCGCCCCCACTCCCTCCTGCAGTGGTGGTGCTTTCCACGCAGAGCCGGGCCAGCCAGGAGTGGCGGGAGGTGAGTTGGAGGGTCCTCTTCCAGCCCAGAGCTGCCCCCGGGAATCACCGCCCCCTCTGCAGGTCCGGCGCTGACTCTCGGAACCCACCCCACCCCCTGATCCAGTTTGGACGGACGGAGGTGATCGACAACACGCTGAATCCAGACTTCGTGCGCAAATTCGTCCTTGATTATTTCTTTGAAGAAAAGCAAAATCTGCGCTTCGATGTGTGAGCCCCGCCCAGTATTCTGGCTTGGACCGCCCCCCGCCCTGGATCCACCCAAAATTCCGGCTGGCCACGCCCCCGCCTGGCCTCCAGGGCTGGTTTCTCTCCCGCCCCAGGCCCCACTTCGGGTGGACTCTGAAGGGATCCGCTCTAGTCTTAGCTCCGCCCCCACGTCTAGTTTGGCCCCGCCCTTAGGTTACCTCCAATCCAGTTCACGCCCTAGGCCTGATCCCGCCCACAGCTCTGCTTGGTAATTTACCTCCACCTCCATCTAGGTCCCGCCCCCCACACGACCCTGCCCCGGGAAAGCCCCGACTCTGCCTCGCCCCAGGCCTGACCCCTCTGACTCTGACTCCTGCCCCAAAGGATGTCCAAGTGTAATTCGGGTCCACGCCTCTCCCTCCACCTACAATTTTAACCAGGACTCTCCCACAAGCTCCGCCCCACTCTGGTTCCACTCTCTTTCCAGGTACAACGTGGACTCCAAAACTAACATTTCCAAACCGGTGAGCGAGCGTCCCCTCACGGGCTGGGCGTACAGGCAGCGCTCAGAGTTTTAAATGACCCTCTTTAGAACCCTCCTACCCCTCAACCCTGACTCCACCTTCTTCAGTCCGAACCCACTCTCCTGGTCCTCCTCTCCTGCACCTGCCTTAGTTTCCCACCGGTGCCTCTTACTCACTGCTCCTCTTCCTTCTCGGATGCTGCTGGGTCCTGCAGAAGGTGAGGCTGAACCCGGCCGGGAGGGGTAGGAAGGGTGGAGGTGAGGGGTGGGATGGCAACCTGGAGAGCAGCTTTAAGTAATGACAGGACCAAGAAGGGGAGCTTGCCTTGGACACCCTCCCCCGTCTCCACCCTCTCCTTTAAAGCACTTGTTGGGCAGTGGTTCTTGCGATGTCCCGCCTCCTGGGCACTTTGTGGTGGTAGTTGCAGCTGGGCTGGGTTGGGCTGATCACCAGGGCTGGGATGGGATCTGCCTCTAGGCCTCCCTGACTCCATATCCCGCTGCAGGATTTCCTGGGACAAGCGTTCCTGGCCCTGGGAGAGGTGATTGGAGGCCAGGGCAGCCGTGTAGAGCGACCCCTCACGTGAGCTGAACTGGAAGGGGTGAAAGGGGAAGGGTGGGTGCCTCCAAATTTTCGTCCCAAAGACGCTGCTGACCCAGTAGTACTGGAAGCTGGGATTCCCCCTGGTAAGGAACCTTCAGTGGTTCCCATCACACTCAGGGTCGACTTCAATCTCAAGGACTTGGCTAAAGTCAATCTCAGGCTTGACATGTCTTTTCTCTCTCATTCTTTTTCTGAGTCTTTTAACCTTTAAAGTCCACTTCCAAGCCCTTCTCCTTCAGGAGGCTTCTACTCACTAAGTCCAGTCCTCTAGAATTGACATTACTCACTAAATATTTATTAGCATGTTTTATATGCCATCCCTTGTGCTAGGCACCACGGATTTATCCACTCCACAAATATTAATGGGTGTATGCTCTATGTCAGCCATTGTTCAAAGAGCTTAGGTTGTAATGGTGGATGAAACAAAGGTTCCTTCCCTCAATGAGCTTACACCATAGAAGGGAGATGAGACCTACAAAATCGGCATAATAAATAAGTTAATTACATAATATATTAGAAGACAGTAAGTGCCATTGGGAAAAGGCTAAGTAGAGCAGAATTAGGGGGACTGGAAATGCTGGGTCGGTGGGAGTTGATTTCAACAAAATGGTTAAGTAGGCCTCTTGGTGAGGTAACTTTGGAGCAATGACCTGGAGGAAGTAAGGGAGTAAGCCATGCAGATATATGGAGGAGGAATGTTCCAGGAAGAGGAAACTGCCAGTGCTAAAAAGCCTGATATGCTCAAAAAGCAGCAAGAGGCCAGCATGGCTGGAGTGAAGGGACCAAGGAGGAAGAAAGGAGGGAGTAAAGTTGGAGAGTTAACCATGAAGGCCTTATAGCCACAGTTAGGACTTTAGCTTCTACTCTGAGTTGGGAGTCACTGGAGGGCTCTGAGCAGAGAAGTGACACAATCTGACAGTGCTTTCAAAGGATGATGCTAGATGCTGGGTTTAGAATAAATCTTGGGAAGTCAAAGGTAGAAGCAGGCAGGCAACTGCAAGGCTATTACAGCGATTCCAGGTGGTTGTAGTGAAGGAGGGAAGAAGTTGTCAGATTCCGGATATATCTTGAAGGTGGAGCCAACAGATTCCTGACAGACTGGGTGTGGATGTAAGAGGAAAAGAGAAATTAAGGACAACACCAAGGCCTTTCGCCTACACAACAGGGAGAATGGAGTTGCCATAAACTGAGATGGTAAAAAAAAAAAAAAAAGGGAGGAGTAAGTTCATGGATGATTCAATCAGGAGTTCAGTCTGACTTGTTGAATTTCATAATTTTTATTAGATATCTGGGTGGACATGTCAAATAGGCAATAAGATAAGTGAGTCTTAGCTGCTCTTTAAAGCCATGAGGCTAGATGAACTCACCGAGGGAGTGAGGAGAAAGGAAGAAAGAAAGAAGACCAAGGACTGAGACTTCAGAAGTTGGAACTAGAAAAAGAGACTAACAAAAACTGATAATGGAGTAGGAGAACCAAGAGAAGGTGGTGTTGTCCTGGGAGCAAAGGACGTGGATCAAGGAGGAGAAAGTGACTAACAATGTCAAATGCTTCTGCAGGTCAAGTAAGGTGAGAATTCAAAATTGGCCATTGGATTTAGCAAGATGGAGGTCACTGGTGACTCTGACAAGCAGAGTTTTGACAGTTGGAGAGATTTAGGGAAGAATGAAGAAAAGAATGGGAGTCAAGAAATCTTTCAATGGGGGTTGCTGCAAAGAGTAGAAGAGAAAAGGAGGGGTAGTTAGAAAGGAAAGTGAGGTCAAAAATAGTTTTGTAACCTTTTAGTGTGAGAAAAATTATACACACTTGTATGTTAACTGAAAAATTGACATAACAAAATGAGGGGGGAATTGCTGAAGTGGTGTCCTTATGTGGGAAAGAGGATGTGGAATTTAGCACACAGGGGAAGGATAAATTAGGTGCATGGATAGTCATTTATAGCAACTGTAGGAAGACAGTGGTGTGGGTGAAGATACTGGAGCCAGGGGAGGTGTGCTGGTAGATCTGTGGACATTCTCTTCTGGTTGCTTCAGTTTTGTCACTGAAGTAGGAAACTAAGTCATTGGCTGAGAGGGAGGATGGGGGGGTGAGACTTCTCAGGTTTGAGGAGAGTAGAGGAGTGAAACTGCCATCTATCAGAACGGAAGAGTAAAGGATCTTGGGATGTATAGTATGATTAAGAACCCTCTTGAAGTTTGTGGCAATGCATTTAAAATGAAACCAGTTAGCATGATTGTGTTTTTCCCTCTGGCCGTATTCAGTTGCATAGGTGTGGTACAGGTTTGGCAGAGATTTGGATTTAACTAGGGCTGCTATTCTGCCAAATAAGTATGTCAAAGTGAGAGAAGCAGAAGAGAAAAGGGTGGTGATTATAATCATTGACTGGAATTTACATTGGGTGAGGAGGTGAGGGAGAACATCAAAGAGGCAAAAAACAGCGAGAAGGCAGTAGGATCCATGACTTTGTCCTGGATATGCAGGTGAAGAATCCCTGTACTCATCACACTTATCTTTTTAAAGCACAAAAAGTCAGAGATCAAAGAAGCCAAAGAAATGGTTCAGCATTCTCATTTTATCACATAGCAAGTTGGAGCCAGAACTTGAACCTAGAACACTCCTGACTTAGCTTTCTCTCTCTCACACTTGGGATCCTTTTGAGGGTCAGGGTTCACTGGTCCATATCAACAAGATCCCTGCCTGCTTGGAAACCCACGGTAAGTTGAGGATGGTTGTCCTTCACACACATGGGTCAGGATGGGTTAAGGCTGCCCCTGTCTTTTTTATTTCACTCTTCACAGTCTCTTGAAAGCACAGCATCTTTGACCTAATGAACCAGACCTTTTCCCTAGGTCTGGATAAAAATCTCTCTCTCTCATTCAGAACTGCTACATTATACTCTACTTTCCTGTTGGCTTTGACATCCCATCTCCTCCTGAAAGCTGCCCAAGGCTAGAGTCTAGCAGAGCTGGACAGTGCCAGCTGACTAATTCATATCTAGCACAGTGTCTGGCACATAGTAGATACCAGGGTCTGCTTTGAGAAATATAACCACCTTCATGTCTATAATGTTTTTCTTTCTATGCACTCATTCAGATCTCTTCACAGCCCTACCAGTGGTCATGATTCCCATCTCACAGAATAAAAAACTAGGGCCCAAAGAAAGGGGAAATAACCTGTCCAAGATTCTAAATCCTATGTCTTTCCCATGCTACTATTGAGATGTTTGCCTAAACTATAGTAATCCCATCCTTCCAAACTGTAGACCCCTCCCCAGTCAAAGTTTATTCCTTCCTCACTAGTAGTCATGCAGGACAGAAGGCAACACACTCAGGGGACTGGCAGTAAATGGCAAATTGAATCCCTTGGCCCACCCAATCCCAAATTGGCCACCCCAATCCTTGTTGCCTACTCTTCCCCCCTCACAAAGAGGCTTTTTCTACTTCCAGGGGTGTACCAGGCAAGAAGTGTGGGACCATATTGCTGACTGCAGAGGAGCTTAGCAATTGTCGGGTTAGTAAGGGCCACATGCTAGACCAAGGAGGTTTGCTTCTCTCTCCAAACTCCCTTTATTGGGTTGTCTGAGGCTGTCAGAAATTTGAGGTTAATAGTCCAACTTCATCCCTAGGACATTGCTACCATGCAGCTGTGTGCAAACAAGCTAGACAAGAAGGACTTCTTTGGGAAATCAGACCCCTTCCTTGTGTTCTACAGGAGCAATGAGGATGGCACGTGAGTCACTACACCATTCAGTGGCACCCCCACCTCTCCCACTGTGACCATGGACCATTAAGGCTCTTAGGCTGGGCATCTTGGACTCCACTGGGACCTGATTCCAGAATTCACTCAAGGCAGCACACAATATGTGCTTAATAAGTGGGAGAATCCCAGGAATCTCTAAAAGTATCAGGCCCTCTCTCTGGGCTCAGTCCTACCCAAAGGCAGGTTATAATCCTCTTGCTCCTCTCTAGGTTCACCATCTGCCACAAGACAGAAGTTATCAAAAACACACTGAACCCCGTGTGGCAGCCCTTCAGCATCCCCGTGCGTGCACTGTGCAATGGAGACTATGACAGGTCTGCTTCAATATAAGCCAGGAAGTATGAAGACAAAGGAATGAGAGTGGGGCCCCAGAAGCACAGTGGAAGGGTCATAACAGTGTTTGAGCATCCTGCTCAGTGAGACAGTTTTGGACATGGAGATGACTGGATAGAGAAACAGATAGCCACATGGATAGATAAGTGGATGGATGAATGGATGAATAGATGGATGGATGGGCAAATGAACAAATGAATGAGCAGACACATGGATGGATTGTCAGATGGATGGATAAACTGGTGACTGGATATGTAGGAATATGGGTGGGTATTATAAAAGGATTGATGGGCCCTGGCTGGTGTAGCTCAGTGGATTGAGCACGGGCCTGCAAACCAGACAATCGCAGTTCGATTCCCAGTCAGGGCACATGTCTGGGTTGCAGGCCGGTTCCCTCAGGCCAGTTCCCAGCAGGGGATGCATGAAAGGCAACCATACATTGATGTTTCTCTCCCTCTCTCCTTCCCTTCCCCTCTAAAGATAAATAAATAAAATCTTTTTAAAAAAGTCTTAAAAAAAAGGATTGATGGGTAGGTAGAAGGAGAGATAGATGAATGGATAAATGGACTAATAGCTTGATTAGTGGATAGACAGATGATGGATGAGTAAACGAGTGAATTGTTGGATAGCTTTATGAGATTGGTGGAGGCTAGAGAAGCAAGGGATGATTGGAAAAGCTGGAGAATATATAAGTGGAGTGACAGGTAGATTGATGGATGGGCAGATGAATGGATGGATGATAAGTAGATGGATAGGCTGACCATATGAACTAATAAATGGGCAGTGTGAAGATAGGCAGGTAGATGGAAGGACGGATGGCCACATAAATGGTTGGTTATGTAGATAACGGACATCAGATGGACAGATATCAGAGGAATGGGTATTTTGTTAGATAGATGAATGGACAGACAGATGAATTTCTGCATGCATCAATAAGCCAGTGAATGGCTAGATATATTATTAGATGGATGGACAAAGACAGGAATTAATATGTAATTGGATTGGCAATTGTACAAGTAATTGGGTGGCTAGATGGATAAAGAGATAATTGAATAGACTGCCACACACATAGGTGGACACATGGAGATGACTTAGGCATAGTAGTTAAGAACAAGGTCTTTGGAACCAGAATGTCTGAGTTTAAATCTCAGCTCATTTATGATCCTTACTTAGTCAAGTTACTGATTTTTGTACCTCAGTTTCATTATCCAAAAAGTAAAATAATAGTACTTGCTTTATAAGGTGGTTGATAAATTAAATGAGACAATCTGAAAAAGTTCTGAGAACAATGCTTAGAATATAGTAAGACTCAGTAAGTGGAAAAGAATAGCAACTGTAGTACAAATAGCAGTGATAGTAATAATAGTAGTGGCAGTGACAGTAGGTAGTTGGGAATTGTGCATGGACTGATGAATGGATGGATGGACAAAGGGGAGGAATGTTGATGGAAGGACTGATGGGTGAATGGGAAGATAACTTGTGTATGGTTAAGGGGTGAGGGTATCTCTAAAATTTATCACTCACACCTAGCCCATCTTTATCTTTTGCATTTCAGAACAGTGAAGATTGATGTGTATGACTGGGACCGGGATGGCAGGTGGAACTTCCTTCTGTACTAACCCAAATAGTTCCCTATAAGATGTAGTGCATTCACTAGGAAACCCCAAGTGTCTTTGGGAACCAGGAAGGGTGATGGTAGATGCCAGGGCCTTGGGTACAGCTGATCCCCTCACTTGTCTCTCTGGTATGCTGCCTCTTCCCTTCTCTCCCCCTTAGCTTGGCCGCTCTTCTGGCCCCAGCCCCAATACCCTGCAGCCCAAGTAGAGGCAGGGGACTGTGAGAATAAAAAGCTGGTTTTAGGGCTGGCTCCAAGCCAGCAGCAGCTACTGCTCACCCACCTCTGGCCTCATTGCAGCCACGACTTCATTGGTGAGTTCACCACCAGCTACCGGGAGCTGAGCAAGGCCCAGAACCAGTTTACAGTGTATGAGGTGAGAGCTCCAGCCCCACCCGGGTTGCCCAGGTCCTCCTTCCATCCCAGAGCGCTTAGTCTGTAGTTCTCTTCCTCTGTTTTCCACCACCACCGTAGGTACTTAACCCTCGTAAGAAATGTAAGAAGAAGAAATACGTCAACTCGGGAACTGTGAGTGCTCCCTGGAGCTCTGACCCTCCCTGGATCTTCCTGTCTGTATTGACATAGCATGACAAAGTTAGGCTACCAAAAGGCTGTGGGCACAGATCACTTGGATTAGTAATGTTGGGCACAAAGTGGCACCATTATGTTTTTCTCTCTTTTTTCTCAACTGTGGAAATTTTTTATCTTCACTCTTTTGCAGAATTTTTTAAATCTAAGGTGTATTTCCCAATTTAATATACTTTTGGAAATCTAAGTATGTTCCTAACAGCTTCCCCGTTTTGCCCTTTCCAAAACTGGGCAAGGTGGGACAGGGTGGAGCAGGGCTGGCACCATGTGTCTGTCCCTGCTGCCATCCCACTGCCCCTTCCAAAGTAGCAGGGCTGCCTCTTCTGTCTCACAGGTGACGCTGCTTTCCTTCTCTGTGGACTCAGAATTCACTTTCGTGGATTATATCAAAGGAGGGTGAGTCACAGGCCAAGCTCTGGGCTAAAACAATGAGTTCCTCCCAGTTCTGAGCCTTAGTTTTCTTATTTATGAAGTTCAGGGTCCAATGAGATCATGCAGATAAACTTGAAAACACTGAAAAGACACAAAGCGCTCTGTTAAATGCACAGTGTTGCCAATTTTAGTTCTCAGTCTGAGGCTTCATCCACAGCTTCCAGCCCCCTGAAGTCATGGCTGTAGTGAGGCCATGGGTGGGTGAGCAGCAGCAGCTGTTGGTTTGGAGCCGGTCCTAAGATTACAGCCTAGTGGTCTTCCAAGGTGGACCCAGTAATCTGACTGGGACCCATATGAAAGTTATGCCCAGGCAAGAGGGACAGACTATAGACTCATTCTGCTTCAGTGGGAAAGGTACTTTGCTTCTCTCATCCTCACTTTTCTCCTATATAACATGGAGATGTTAATTACTACTTTAGGAATATAGTAAGAGTTATGTTAAATTACATGTAACATACTTGTCACACAGTAGGCATTTAATTCTGCCACCCAAAGTGTGCTCCATGGACCATCAGCATCTGCATCACTTGGGAGTTTGTTAGAAACATAGAAACTCAGGTTCCACCCAGACAATCTAGATCAGAATCTACAATTTAACATGATCCCCGGGTCATTCATATGTACACTAGTGTTTGAGAAATACTGGTATCATTAGTATTAGTCCCTTACTTCTCAATCCATCTACTTTCCTGACAGGACCCAGCTGAACTTCACAGTAGCCATTGACTTCACAGCTTCTAATGGTGAGGCATGTTTGGGGAGTGGGATGTGGAGGAAGTCCTTAGCACTGATCTGGATTCCAAGCTAGGGATAAGAGTTCACCTACCAGGAAGCCCAGGCCTGAAGCAAAGCTCAGCCAGCTGGTACTGGGGCAGGAGTATTGGGGGGAGATTATTGGGTATAAAGGTGGGCAGAAGGTATAGAAAAATAGGTGGGTAAATGGATCAGGAAAGTTAAATGGATGCATAGCTCAAGAAGTGGATGAATGGGAGAGAATAGGAGTTTAAGGAGAGATGGATAGATAAGTGGGTGGTGAGTGATGAGTGGGTAGGTGGATAGATGAACAGAGCAGGTAGATGCTGGAGAGTGAGGACGATAGGTTGCATGGATGAGTATGTGGGTGGATAAGTGGACAGATGCTTAAACTGGGGGCAACAAAGGGTAAGTAGATGAGAAATGAATGAGTGGACAGGTAGATGGATCCATATGAGGATAGACAGGCAAGTGAGTGAGTGGAATGCGTAAGGATGAATGGGGGTGGGCAGAAGAATTTGGCTATATGGATGGATGGAAGAGGAATGGCAAGTGGACAAGTGAATGTATGTATGTATGTGTGTATCGATGGATGGATGAATAAGAGAACAATGGATAGGCAGATGGATAGAGTGGATAGGTAGGCTGACAGAGGGATTTATGCCCACAAATGGGTGAATGTGTAGATAGGTGGATAAATCAATGGATCAGTATAAGGATTGGTGGGTGGACAGGTGGATAAATGAACGTATTGATGATTGGGTAAAATAATAAGGGAGTACACAGGTAAAGAGTGGATGAATTCATAGGCGGATGGATGCACACAAGGACAGGCAGATAAACAGGTGGATGTGCAAGGTGGTCATTGAGGCTGGGGCTCCTGTGTCCCTACAGGGAATCCCTTGCAGCCCACCTCCCTGCACTACATGAGTCCCTACCAGCTCAGCGCCTATGCCATGGCCCTCAAGGCAGTGGGAGAAATCATCCAGGACTATGACAGTGACAAGCTCTTCCCAGCCTACGGCTTTGGGGCCAAGCTGCCCCCAGAGGGACGGATCTCCCACCAGTTCCCCCTGGTATGGTATGGGCCAGAGCCTACACTCCATGCCTTGGCATCTGGCCCACCCAAGTTGACAAATATCTTCTACTTACATTTCTTCAAAGGGTCATGGATCTGCAGAGGAGCAGAAAGTTATGATAGGGTAGAAGAGCAGGGAGGGTAGCAGGGCTGGAGTTTGGAGGGGAGCATGAAAGAGAGTGATGGAAAAAGGAAGGGTGAGCTGGGATCGGAGCACTACTGGGCATCCCCTGCATGGGCTCAGCCCAGCAGGGCATCTTCCCTGACAGAACAACAATGATGAGGACCCCAACTGTGCGGGCATTGAGGGCGTGTTGGAGAGCTACTTCCGGAGCCTGCGCACAGTGCAGCTCTATGGGCCCACCTATTTTGCTCCTGTCATCAACCAGGTGGCCAGGTAAGGGAACTGGATGGGGTTTGAGAAGAATGAGAGGACCGAGAGATGGAAATGACCTCCCAAGGATAGTTAGGACCACACCTAGTGAACTTGTGCTTTGGGGAGAGGGTAAAAGTTTGTGTTAGCCAGGCTTTGGTATAAAGGGGTTATAAAATGACTTATTCCAGGGCAGAGAGGGTATCAACAAACTACCCCACCCCCACTCCCTGGGAACAAAAATTCAAGTCTCATGTCTGGGGAGAAAGACAAACACCTACAGTTAAGTCACAAATTTGATATTAGATCTGAGAGTGATCCTAATCTTACCACTCACTAACCATGTGACCTTATGCAATTTTAGCCTCTTTGAGCCTCCATTTCATCTGTCAATGGGTGTAATAATGGAAAACAATAGCTCCTTCTTTATAGAGTTATTGAAAGGTTAAAATTTAATAACAATATAAGGATTATTATCACAGTAAGTGCTCAATACATGGTAGATTGAAAAATATAAGCATCGCTCCCTCTCTGGAGCATGTCTGTGCCATTCCCTCCCCCTATCCCTCTCCCAGGAACATTACCTTAGCCTTTCACTCTTCTAAGCTCCAAAGTCCCTTCTTTTGACTCTGTAACTTGTTTCCTGAGTCCACACAGCCCAGCTGGCTCACTTTTACTACCTCTCTAACTTTCTAAATAACCTTCCTCTTATAATTTGAAATATATATATGTAACTCCAAATTTTCAGAATAAAAGTATACAAAGTGAGGAAATCCCAGATCACATATCAAATTATTTTTTAAATGCAAGTAAAATAAAATGACAGAACTAAAACCAAATGTTTCAAAAAACATAAATTGGAAAAGCTCACCTAATAAAAGAAAAAGACTCTCTGATTAAATTTTAAAAATAAATAAATTGAACTAGCTGCTGAGTAGAAGAACCCTAACTAAAACAATGTACCTCAGAAAGCTTCAAAGTAAAAAGATGAAACAAACATGCAAAAAAAGAATAAAAGTAGGAAGGTTTCAGAGAGATTTATATGTCCATAAACTTTCTTTTCCCTAATAAAGATTTGTTTTTTTTGTAATCCACAATAAGGATAATAGTTTTTTTATTATAAAAGTAACATCACACATTACATTACTATAGAAAATTTCAAGAATGGAGAAATGTATATATATATATATATGTAATATATATATATGTATGTATAGTTCTTTTTTATATATATAGTTCTTGACCATCTTCTCCTTATGCATACATAATTGCAGTCAAATTACATGTGATATTTCACTGCTGATTTTTTTCACTTAATAATGGAGCCTGAACCTATTCTTTAGTTGTTATTAAGCAGACTTCTCAAATATTATCTTGGACAAGTTCACTGATTCATTCACTCATTGATCTAATAAACATTAAGAAGAGGGGCAATGTAACATGAATGTGGGATGTGGAATCAGACTGGCTAATGCACCTGCTCTGCCACTCATTAGCTATAAGACTTTGGGTAAGACTCTTAACCTCCCTGTGCCTGCTTCCTCAGTTGTAAAATGCTGATAATAATATCTACATCATCAGACTGTTAGCTATTACTGTTACTATTATTATAGTTATTACTATTCAAAGGCCATCTGCTGGGTGCTCAGTTCTCTGCTGGGGCACTGGAGACTCACAGATGAATCAGATCTAGTCTCTGCCCTTGGGAGCTCCCGCCTTGGTGCAAGAGACAGAAATATAAATAAATCATTACCTTCTGTAGGCCAGAGCTTCTCAGACTTTTCCAGCAAGTTGCCTGTCAGCAAAGGCAAGTGACTGCTTCCCCCTGGGGACCCTGGGGGCACAGCTGAAAGCAGCCAGACTGAAAATGTCTTTGAAGTCCCCAATTCTTTCTTAAAAATGCACACAAATTTTACCTTGTTTTCACAGTGTCCATGTTTGCTTTAATTTAGAAAATAAAGTGTTTTAAGTATACTTAAGAGTCATCTAACTTTATCCACAAGATCATAGAGTAGAATGGATGCTCCAAGTATTCTGTTGCCTTGGGTCCCCATAGACACACAAGGTAGTACCTTCAGGACTGCGAGAACCCCCTTTGGAAGGGCAGACAGCCTATCTCAGTGGGCAGTATCCTAGAAGGCAGAGGGAGAGTAGGGGAGGGTGTAATCTAGTCTGAGAAACCAAGGCAGCCTACTCATGGAGGAGACTGCCATGCTGGGTCTAGAGAAGGGAGTAGAGTAGGCCTGGCTGAAGGAACCACATGTGAAAAGCACAGAGGCATGAAGGGGCAAGCTTGGGAAAGGGTGAACAGCATACTAGGATCAGAATGTGCTGTGTATATGGAATGGAGGAGCATTCAAAGAGCAGGCTAGGAATGGAGAAAAGGCACAAAGAGCTCAGGCTTTAGGCTCAGCTGGTGAAGCATGGGCTTGGACCATGGCTTAACACTTCTGAACTTCAGTTTTCTCATTTTAAAAGTAGGAATAAAAATGTGCCTACTTAGAATGGTGGTAAGGATTAAATCAGATCATGTACATCAGGTGTGCAGCTGTGATTCTCATGATCACAAATGACTGTTCGTTTTTTTCCCACCCAATAGCCAAGTGGGGCACAGAGTAGTCTCCCTTCACAAGTCACCCATCCCAAGAGTCTAAATGGCTTTGGTAATGCCAAGTAACTACAGGAAGCCAAAGATGTACCTCCCACATCCCCAAACCCTTCTGGCCCTCACCACTGTGCCAATCTCATCTCCCTTCTGCAGTCCTACATGTGCCACCTGGAGTCTTGGTTTGCACATGCAAACCCTCTATCTGGAATGCCTTCCCTTTAGTTTCCCATCTGTACCCCCCCCCACCACCAACAATAGTACCTTCACCTGGCTAATTCGTATGCCATCTTCATTTCCAGGTCTTACATTCAATGACATGTCCTCAAAGTCCTAACCTCAATGAATCTTAATGATGTAAGCACCCATCTCCCCCAGGACAATATACTATTCTCTGCTTCATGCTCAGCACTGAGCTTGGTGACTGACACGTAGCAGATGTGCAGTGATACTTATAAAATGAACGAGTAACAGGAAACAATACCAGTCCAGGCCTTGGGGTGACTGTGGCCAGAATTTAGAAAAAGAGCAGAGGCTGCTAAGGAAGATTATAACACAATCCCACCCTAGGAACCAGGCAAACTGAGCCACAGCTATTTGAATTCTTCATCATTCTTTTCTCTGATTTTTTTAGATATCAGGCTTAAATATCAGCACAGTTCAATAGAACCTCCTGAAATGATGGAAATGTTCTATATCTGTGATGTCCAATATGGTAGCCACCAGCCACCTATGGACATTGAGCACTTGAACCCTTGAGCTGTAGCTAAAGTGAACAAGGAACTAAATGTTTAATTCTATTTAACTTGATTCACTTAAATTTCAATAGCCAGATGTAGCTAGGAACTACTTTATTGGACGATATAGTTTCACCTTTTCAACTCTCACACGGCTATCAGGAGACCTGGGTCTGGCATGGCCTTTGTGTTGCCTCAAGGCCTTGTGTTTCTGATATGTAAAATAAGGGGACTGGACTCAGTTACTTCTGAAGTCCTTTAGAGATGGAAAAGTGTTAGATATAAAGATTGATTGTAAGAGAAGGAAAAGGAGTTCTGGGAGCAGCAGTCAGACTGACTGAGAACCCACCTGCCCAGGAAATGGGATACAGTCAGCAGAGGGGAGGAGGGAGACAGACAAAATAGGTGAGAAGAAGGAAGAAAGGAGGCCTTCAGCCTTTGGTCATGCTCTTGTATGAATACCAAAATCTTTTCAGGAACTACAAAGCCCTGCGAGGTCTGGCTCTTGCCCTACCTCAGCCACATGGTCCACTCTGCTTCTCTCACTTTCTGGGCTCCAGATACAGTGGGCTTCCTTCAGTCCCATCACAGGGCCTTTGTCCACACTGTTCCTTCTGCCTGGAATGATCCCCCCTTCACTTAGCTTCTCCTTCATCCTCGAACATTGTCTCCTTATATAAGCCTTCACTGACCTGGACTATGTTAAGATCCCCTACCATACACTGTCACGACAGTGTCCCTTTCTATCACAGCACAAGTCAAAAATGTAACGTTATACCTATTCCAGTGATTCTTAGATCAATGTCTGCCTCCTTTTGAGAGGGCTGGGGTAGATTTGTTTTTTGCCATGGCGTACCTTCAATGCCTTAACACAAAACCTGCCATAGTAAGTGTCCCACAAATGTTACTGGAAGGATGGCAGGCAGGGGGAGGTAGCCAGTCTGTGGAAGGAGCATGAGCTTCAGAAGCCCCAATCCTTGCCTGCGACATACGTGCTGGCTGTGGGAGCTTTAGGAGTAGGGTGTCTCCCTTGGCGCTTCTCTGGGCTTTCAGCTAGATTGTTTTCTTGGCCTCTCACCCAGGGCTGCAGCCAAAATCTCTGATGGTTCCCAGTACTATGTCCTGCTCATCATCACGGATGGGGTCATTTCTGACATGACACAGACCAAGGAGGCCATCGTCAGTGTGAGTCTGAGGAAGAGGGCTTGGCAGGGAGGGGTTACTTCTAATAACTGTGAAGGGGTAGAGAATTAAAAAATTAGTTTAATTAAATAATAACTGTGAAGGGGATGAAAGCTAACAACTTAGCCTGCCAGATTCATGGCTGCTGGCAGAAGATACAAAACTCATGGGTCAGAGACAAAGGACTTTATTATCCTCAGCAATAGCAGTAGGTGACTGTTGTCAAGCATTGGCATTTTCTCTTATTCTCTAAGTCCCAATTCCCACAAGATGATGTGAAGAGGGCCAGATGACACCTGCACCCACAGTGTGCTGCATTATGGGACAGAAACCCTGAGTTTAGGGAACCCATACCTTTTATAATGGGCATTTATAACAAATGGGATGCCTACCCTTTGTTCCAGTGTGAGACATTCTATTATACTGGACATTAAATAAACCCACCCTTTGGTCTAAAGAAAGACACTATATCTTTCAAGGCTGTTTGTTATGCAGATGTCCTTGTAAAAATAGTCTGGAACAAAGAAAATCAGTGCCTGTGCTTGCAGATGTGCAGAGATGTAACATACACAGAGAGAATTGCTTCCAACAGTCACCTCTTTTATTATGGCCACTCACCCCAGCCATTCACTCTCTTCCTCACAGGCCTCCTCACTGCCCATGTCTATCATTATTGTTGGTGTGGGACCAGCCATGTTTGAAGGTGAGTAGGATGGGGGTTGTCCACGAGTGGGACCAAGAACTGGGGAAGATAGGGAAGAGTCTGAGCACCCACACTGCCTCCCCAAAAAGATAGGATGGATGCCTGGGTTGGACCTTGGCCATACCACAGACCTTTTCTAAACCTGGTTCCTCATCATAACTGAGGGTGTTGATCTGCATACTTCCCTCTTGGGATTCCTGGGAGGATGGAATATGTGGGAAAGCATAAAAATAATGCCATAACAATGCCTAATATTTGTAGGATTCTTATACAACCATTATGTATTCTCGGGATGACTCTAAAGGGTCATCTAAGAGGGAGGGGGGCAGCTTGGGTTGGTGTAGGAGAGGCCTATCAGTTGAAGGTGTCTTTTCTGCAGCAATGGAAGAGTTGGATGGTGATGACGTGCGTGTGTCCTCCAGGGGACGCTATGCTGAGCGGGACATCGTTCAGGTAGACCTGACCGGGGAGACAGAGTCATGGAGCTGAAAGACATGGTGGGAAGGAGAGGCTAAGTTGGCAGCCACTTTACCTTCTGCCTTCCTAATCACCCAACTTTCTCCCCCTCACTCTTTCAGCCTTCCTGCTTTCATTGAATAAGATGTGTGAGAAACAGGTTGTGGTAGCCACTGTGGATCCATAGCCTAAGAGATCCCCAAGGCTCCTGCCCTCTAGTGGAGGCAACCGTAATAATCACACAGCTAAATATCTCATTAGATTGTGCTAAGTGCTCTAGAGGAACAGCAAATGCTACTGAGAGCCTATAACAGGGACCTGTCTTAGGCAGAGTAGCCAGGAAAGGCTTCCATGAATAAATGACCTTTGAGCTGAAACCTAAAGCAAGGTATAAGCATTACAGACAGAGGGGCAGCATGTGAAGGCCCTGAGGCTCAGAAAAATTGGTCCAATCATGGAAAAGGCAAGAGGCCAGGGTAGTAGGATCACAATGACTGAGAGAAAGAAGAAACCAAGGTTTTGCTGATCATGGTGAAGATTTAGGGGTTTGTTCTTTAAAAATTGAAAGCTCTTAAATGACTTTACAAATGGGAGTGAGATGGCCAGAATTTCATTTTAAGAGAATCTCTGCTTCATGGAGAGCAGACTGTCGCAGGGGAAGAGAGAAGGGAGGTAGACCCATTAGTGAAGAAGCCTTTAAGTAGTAGAAGTAAGATGATAGGGATCTAGTTGGAAATAGAAGCAGCAAGGATAGAGGGAAGAAGCAGGTTCAAATATTATTTAAGAAAAATTTTACAACAGCTGACTGTTTGAGTAAATGGTGATGGAACATGAGAGGGGCTTCAAGAAATTTTATTAATTATGCTATTACAATTGTCCCATTTTCCCCCTTCACTCCCCTTCACTCTGCTCCCCTCCCACCCACATTCCCCGTTTAGTTCATGTTCATGTCTCATAAGTTCTTTAGCTTCCATATTTCCCATACTATTCTTACCCTCCCTCTGTCTATTTTCTACCTACCATCTATGCTACTTATTCTCTGTACCTTTTCCCCCCTTCTCCTCCTCCCATTCCCCTGTTGATAACCCTCCATGTGATCTCCATTTCTGTGGTTCTGTTTCTGTTCTAGTTGTTTGCTTAGTTTGTTTTTGGCTTTGTTTTAGGTTCAGTTGTTAATAGTTGTGAATTTGTTGTCACTTTACTGTGCACATTTTTTTACCTTTTTCTTGGATAAGTCTTTTTAACATTTCATATAATAAGGGCTTGGTGATGATGAACTCCTTTAACTTGACCTTATCTGAGAAGCACTTTATCTGCCCTTCCATTCTAAATGAAAGCTTTGCTGGATAGAGCAATCTTGGATGTAGGTCCTTGGATTTCATGACTTGGAATACTTCCTTCCAGCCCCTTCTTGCCTGTAGGGTCTCTTTGGAGAAGTCAGATGACAGTCTTATGGGAACTCCTTTATAGGTAACTGTCTCCTTTTCTTTTGCTGCTCTTAAGATTCTCTCCCTAGCTTTCATCTTGGGTAATGTAATTATGATGTGCCTTGGTGTGTTCCTTGGGTCTAACTTGTTTGGGACTCTCTGAGCTTCCTGGACTTCCTGAAAGTCTATTTCCGTTGCCAGAATAGGGAAGTTCTCCTTTATTATTTGTTCAAATAAGTTTACCACTTGTTGCTCTTCCTCTTCTCCTTCCAGTATCCCTATAATTTGGATGTTGGAACATTTAAAGATGTCCTGGAGGTTCCTAAGCCTCTCCTCATTTTTTTGAATTCTTGTTTCTTCATTCTTTTCTGATTGGATGTTTCTTTCTTCCTTCTGGTCCACTCCATTGATTTGAGTTCCAGTTTCCTTTTCATCACTATTGGTTCCCTGTACATTTTCCTTTATTTCACTTAGCACAGCTTTCATTTTTTCATCTAATTTGGGACCAAATTCAACCAATTCTGTGAGTGTCCTGATTACCAGTGTTTTTGAACTGTGCATCTGATAGGTTGGCTATCTCTTAGTCACTTAATTGTATTTTTTCTGGAGCTTTGATCTGTTTTCATTTGGGCCATTTTTTTGTCTTGTTGCACCTGTTATATTGAGGGGTGGAGCCTTAGGTGTTCACCATGTGGGGCAACCCAGTGGCTGGGTTGTGATGTTGTGTGTGGGGAAGGGGCCCAAGAGGGAACAATGCCACTTGCTGAGCTCTCTGCCCAATTTCAGTTACTTCCTCTGCTTCCCACAAGCAAATTGGGACCTTCTGGTGCTGCTTCCCAAGTGAGTGGGTTTGTGTACGTTCTAGGACCCTATGGGTCTCTCCAACAAACTCTCCTGTGAGGCTGGGAGTTTTTCCCAGCACCTCAACCCCCACAGGTGTTTCCAATCAATGTTTTCAGGCTTTATTTCCCCACACTGGAACCGTGGGTTGCATGGTCTGTCTTGCTCTTCAGTTCTGCCTGATTTATCTGTGTGCGAATGTAGGACTGCCCAGTCTGCCAGCCACCTTGTGTGCCACACTGTGCTCCACAATCCACCGCCTCGCTGGGTCCGCCAGCTGCTTCCCTGTGTGCCCAGGGTCCGCAAGCCACCGTTTTGCCAGACCCCTTTCTGCTTGGCTGCCAGACTCCACCCCTCCTACTGGTCTGGATGAATGTTTCTTCTTTAACTTCTTGGTTGTCAGACTTCCACACAGTTCAATTTTTCTGTCGGTACTGGTTGTTTTTTTGTTTCTAAATTGTCCTTATTTTGGTTGTGCAAGGAGGCACAGTGCTTCTGCCTACACCTCCATCTTGGCCAGAAGTTGATTCTCAGTTTTCTAACTTAAGCAATTGGATGAGTGGTAGTCCCATTTTACTGAAGGAGGGGCAGATTTGGCAGAAAGGGTTAGAATTCAGTTGTGAACACACTGGAGTTGAGGTATCTAAAACAACTGAATGAAGATGTGATACAGGCACTGTAGACGTGTATAAAATCATCCTGAAAGAGAATCGAGAGAAAGGACCAGGTTTAGTGATCAGATAGACCCCCAGAGGAATGGCTGGGGGAAAAGCTCACCCAGAAAGGGAGGAGAAACTCCAGCAGGGTGGTGCATCAAGAGTAGGATGTGTCTAGGAAGATTATGGTTAAATGTAATGGAAAGAGAAACAAGATGAGGACAAACAAGTCCTACCCACTGGACTAATTTGGGAACACGGGGCTATTGACAACAGTACCAAAAGCAGTTTCAGTAGACTGTGTGAGGTCAAACTGGAGTAGGCTGAGGGTAAATAGAAGGTAAAAAAAAATGGGTAGAGAAAGCAAAAGCAGGAAGCTGTCTAGGATAGGAGGATATTTAGAAAGAGAGGTTAGGGGTCAAAGAGGAAGCCTCCCTACTGCCCCTTTCCCCACTCCCCTCTCTGCTAGCCACCACTCACACCTGATTATCTGTTTCTGTTCTAGTTCGTCCCATTCCGAGACTATGTCGACCGATCAGGGAACCAAGTGTTGAGCATGGCCCGACTAGCCAAGGATGTGCTCGCAGAGATCCCAGAGCAACTGTTGTCCTATATGCGAACCAGGGACATCCAGCCTCGCCCCCCACCACCTACCAACCCCAGTTCAACCCCAGCTCCAGAGCAACCCTAAGAAGCCTACTTATCCAATGCCTGTAATCTGCCACCCACCCATCCACTGCTTCTGCTGAAAGCCAGAGGTACCTAAAGCCCGGTGACTCATTGGGAGGCCAGCTTGGAGGATCAGTGCTGGGTGTCAAGGTCTCCACTCCCTCACCCACAGATGGGCCTGGCACTGTCACCACCTCCCTACCTTCATGCCAGTAATAAAGCTGATAATAATAATTACCCCACTTCTGTCTCTTGGGTCTTGAGGAAGGAGACTAGGGGACCCAGGGCTTGGTATACCAAGAGGAGGGAGGATGGCTTCAGGTAGGATTTATTACCATCCTATTAAACAATCATCCAATCATTTCTTTAGACATTCTTCAAACACTTTGAGAAGTGCCAAGTACAATTGTGCTTGTGTTTTTCTGAGAGAAGAGAGAGGCCACACATAGTTTTTATCCAACTCTTAATAGGGCTCCTGACCTCAAAAGAGGCTAACTTTAGGATGATTGTAGTACTCTGCTCTCATTTATTTTGATTTGTCTGAATGAGAATAATAAAAACAACTAGTATTTTCTTTTTGTATTCATTACATATCACACACTATGCTAGACGACTTACAAGCATCATCTATTTAATTCTCACAGCAATCCTGTAAGGTAGGCACTGTGTTTTATCTCCATTTTACAAATGGGGAAACTGAAGCTCAGAGAGAGAGTAAGTCACTTATTGAAGAGAACTTACCAGTTTGACTCCAGATTCCAAGAATTTAACCAGAAATCTTCTTCCTGGAGTGTGTCGATTATTTTTTAAGGATTTTATTTATTATTTTTAGACAGAGGGGAAGGGAGAAAGGAGAGAACCATCAATGTGTGGTTGCCTCTCGCGCGCCCCCTGCTGGGGATCTGGTCCACCACCCAGGCATGTGCTCTGACTGGAATCAAACTGGTGACCCTTTGGTTCTCAGGCTGGCGCTCAATCTACTGAGCTACACTAGCCATGGCTGGGGTGTCGATTTTATTAAGATAAAGATGGGGGGTGTTGTTTTGGGTTTTTTCTTAAGACACTATACGAAAACACACATTATAGTGGGTCGAATGCAAGGTTGCATTAAGATAAAATGGAAGCTTCAAGGTGCTTTGGGCTTTGCCGCAGAACATTGAAAGATCCTTTCATACCTCTTTGATGACAAAACTGGAGAGGCTCAGCTACAAGCATGTTTAACAAGTGAACTCTCCCTAGTACCCAGGTTCTCCAAAGTCCCCAAGAACTCACCATAAAGCTTTCGAGCTCTGTTGTACAAATAAGGAGTTTGAGGTAGGAAGAATTTAACAACTTGCCCTAGTTCGCACAGCTACGAAGTGGTCTAGCTACATTAAAACCAGCTGTCTGTTTTGAGACCATCTTCCAAGTGGCAAACCGTAGCAATGATATATTTCCCCACCAAACTACAAGATACCAGGCACCTGAATCCCATTTTACAGTAGATATGCCCTTTCATAACCCAACAGCCTTCTGCACCTCCCCAAATCCGGCCCCTTCTGTTGGATCCACACCTTTCCTTGCTGTCCAGTCCCGTTTCTTCACCTTTCCAAAGCCCCGCCCCTTCCCTTCCCTTGAAGCCTAGATTGCTTTTCCCAGGTCTGTCCTTTCTCGCTAGCCCACCCAGCTCCACCTTCCAGGTCAACCCAAACCCCAGCCCTTTATTTCCTGAAGCTCACTCTTCAGTTTAGCCCCACTATTTGCCGGGGTTAAGTCCCTGTTCTCCATGGTAAGACCTGCTTTAGAGATGGCCCCGCCCCCTTCACTGAGCCCCACCCTTTCCCCCAAATCCCGCCCCATAGACTAGTTAATTCTCTTCCAGCCCCGCCCCGCCTCTGTCCCTAAATACCGACCTTCCTTAGGTTCAAACCCACGTCCTTCTTGCTCTCGGCCAAGCCTCCAGCCCCGCCCCATAGCTCCGGCTCCGCCTCGCTGCCTTCCTAGGAGACCAAGGCCAGGTCTTTACCGCAGCCGCGGCGCCAGCAGTGGGGAGGGGGAAGGGAGGGAGGAGACAGAGGGGGAAGGGAGAAGGGCGGGCTCCTCAACCCCAGCCCCATGTTAGCAACCGCAGATTCGACACAGTCGGCCTGACAATTCCGCGTCCCGAGTACTGCGACTTCAGTCTCCATAAACTCACCTCTAAGATACAGGTGCTAGAGAAGCCCTGTGGAGTGTTCAGGGACCCTTACGAATGCCAGAGAATGGTCTCTCGAGGCTCAGCTGGCGGGCGGGGATCTATGGCGAAAGTGCAGCTTGGCAGCGCCTCGGCACCACGTTTACCCTGCGCAGACGCCGTCGCCGCCGCTTCTGCCGCCGCTGCTGTCCCTTCCTTTGCCGCCACCGTCTCCGCGGCCGCAGTCCCCGCGCTGCCTCCAGGAGTCTCCATTGTTCCGGCAGTGCTGGATTCGGACGCTGGGCAACTTAGGGGATCTCGAACCGACAGGCAGCCGAGAGTTGAGAGGACACCGGGGCGCTGGCAGGACCGGGAGCGGAGGGGGTCAGCGCGGGAATCCCAGGGAGCCGGGGCCAGAGCGTGGGGCGGCAGGGGGCCGGGGTGGCGAGGTCTGAGGTCTCCGAAGTTACAGCTCCCCCTCCCCAGCCCATCTTTCCCTGCCGGCCTCCCCAAGTGAAGTCGGAGCCCCGGCGGGCGGCCCCGGCCATGAGCCCGGACTCGAGGTGGCCGGTGAGTGCGGGCGGGGGACCAGGGCGGGAGTGGCTAACGGGAAGGGTTTGACTACTTTTGTGGGGAGCACACTGAGCTGCCCCTAGGGCCCTTCCTTCCGGGAGAACTGACAGTGACTTCGCTCCCAGCGGGCATCTCAGGGCAACAATGTATCCTTCGGGGGCTACCAAAGTCAACCCCAGGAGGAGAGTCTTGTTTAACTTGTTACACCTCTACAAAAGGGAAACGTCGACGCATCCGGGAGAGGGCTGCTGGCACCGCCTGGGCCTGGCCTGATCCCTCCGGCTCCCGCCCCCTACTTCCTCCAGACCCCTGAGCTTGGCCGCCTTACCCTTGGGCCCTGAGCCCTACCCACGGGCTTTCAGATCTGAGTTCTCGGCTCCCTCCCCTATTGCCTCTGCCGTTGACTCCCAGCGGGACATCTGCCCAGGGCTCTGTGCTACTTAGGAAGCCAGGGAGTCAGGGCAGCAGAGCTGTTGCGTTCACCAGGGACCCATCATTGAAAGAGGAGAGCTTATTTATGCTTGCCATTGGTCTGTTTTTAAAGGCACAGAAGCAGGTAGGAAGTAGGAGGGAGCTGGAATTGAAGTAGTAGCGTCACTGATGTGAAAGTCAGGTGCTTTGACAGACACTGAAGCAACCCACTTGCTTGGTTATGTTGCAGGAAGATAGAGGCCTAGAGGGGTCACTGTTTGTCAGGGAGCTCAGGGTGGCACTGTCTGGAATGGTGCCAAGCCCCTAGCTGAATTGTTAAACTCAACTAAGCCTGGAGAAATTGGGGCAGTCTCTGACTAAGCTGGGCTTCCTGGGGGTTGGTGCCATCTGCTGTCTTCATTCACCCAGGAACACTGGAGAGGAGAAAGGGAGGGCCCTGAAGACCAGCAAGGAATTGAGTGTGCCTGGATTGCCTTGTTCCTGTCTGTACACTTAGGGCTTGTTACCACTGCGAGGGCCAGGGGATAGACTCTCCCTAAAGACCTCAGAAGTGAACTAATTCTGTGATCCAGTGATTTCTGCTGGAGTCTGGGTCTACATCATTGGCTACCCATTCAGGCTTCTACATGGGCTAACACTAGTCTTCATCCATCTCCCTCAGCTCCAAATCTGATGATCTCATTCAGCTATTGTGGTACTGGGGATATAGAGGTGGGCTCTGTTGCCTGCACTGCACAGCTTCCAGTCTGGTGGGGAGGAGACAAAGCTGAGAATGGAATGCTATGAAAACAGCTCCCCATAGGAGAGACAAGTCATACCAAAGGAAGTGACACTTGGTCTGGGTTTTGAAGAATGAGTAGGAGCTCACCAATAAGAGAGGATGGAAGGCATTCCAAATAGAGGTCATCTTGCAAGAATGAGAGGTTATAACTTTCAGGAAATGGCAAGCCGCCCTAGATAGACAGAAGCACAGCTGTAACTGGTGAAAAGAAGAGTCTGGAAAGGAGGACTAGGACCAGACAGTGAAAAGAGCCTTTGAATGTCGACATAGGGAATTTGGATATTATCCTGAAGTAGGGAACATCAGAAAGATTTTAATCAGAGATTGAAATGACTGTTGCTACTTGGTAAAAAGATCACTCTGACCACATTATGCAAGATTAGGCTAGAAGGTTGAGGAAGAGGGCAGAGCAACTAGGCAAGAGGTGAGAAGGCCCACACAGTGGCCATGGTGTGGAGGAGATGATACTTAGAGATGCTGTAGAGGTGGGCTGGCCAGGATCCTTGAAAAGAGAAAGGGTTGGAGGGAGTGGAGTGGGTAGCCAGGAACCCTTCCTAGGCCTCTGTTAACTCATCTGTACATTCTAGATGTGACAGCATGGGGGTGGACTTTGACGTGAAGACTTTCTGCCACAATTTGCGGGCAACTAAGCCACCATATGAGTGCCCTGTGGAGACTTGCCGCAAGGTCTACAAGAGTTACAGTGGTATTGAGTACCACCTGTACCATTATGACCACGACAACCCACCACCTCCTCAGCAGACTCCACTTCGCAAGCACAAGAAGAAGGGGCGCCAGTCACGCCCAGCCAATAAGCAGTCACCCACCCCCTCAGAGGTATCACAGTCACCGGGCCGTGAGGTGATGAGCTACGCACAGGCCCAGCGCATGGTGGAGGTGGACCTGCACGGCCGTGTCCATCGCATCAGCATCTTTGACAACCTTGATGTGGTGTCAGAGGATGAGGAGGCCCCCGAGGAGGCCCCTGAAAATGGCAGCAACAAAGAGAACACAGAGACACCAGCTGCAACTCCCAAGTCAGGCAAGCATAAGAACAAGGAGAAGCGCAAGGATTCCAACCATC